CAGCACCGGCTCCCAGAAGGGGACCCGAACGCAGAACGTGGGGGACTGACCGAGCCCCGGGGCATCGCTACGGCCTCGGCACCCCGCTCACACTGACAACACGTTTGCCATCTCCCTGCAAAACAACGGCTAACCCGCCAACCTTGGGTGCTTGCCGTCACTGTGAAACACAGTTTTATGGTTCTTTTTTTCCCTTGATTCTTTAAAATCTAATTTATTACATTTTGTCTTCTTGCTCACAGTGGCAAAGGGGCCTGGGGGGCTTTAACACCAGCATTTTTCTCCCACGGGGCTCCCAATCACTTGTAAAATCCCACAGACAGGCCAGGGCACTTGGAATCACAGCTCCCGTCACTTCCAAGGGCTGAGGAGTAGTCAGCTGGATTTTATTATTTTAAAATTTGGGAGGTGTGACTGAGATGGGCAGCTTGCCACAGAAGTTATCTGAAAGGGAAACAAAAGCACCACGAGCCATTTTCAGGAGAATACAACGTGACCTGCAGAAAAACCCTACCCTAACTCACTGCATGAACAGCGACAATAGATTTGGTGGAATTTGCATGAATTAGGATTATCCGTGTGAATAAAGGTTGGCAGGTTTGTGCCCTAAATCTCCAGAACTTGTCACCTCTCCACACCCACAGATTTTATTGTCTGTTTATAGGTTGTGGGGGTATTTGCGAAACATGCTCGGTAAAGTGTGTGGTACGACAAGAACACACTAACTAGTGCTTTCTCTTGAGATTAGACCAGCCCACATATAAAACTTGCCAGCCAACCCTCATTCTTCCTACCGTCTTTCTGATGCAAAAATTTTGCCTGTGACCCTCCCTCTTGCAGCCTCGGGGAGCAGGCACAGGGTGGGGTGACACAGCTACAAAACCCCAGTGCCTGGCGTGTCTCCGTGCACTGCATCTGTGCAGTGTTTCCAAGAACGCTCCCGATGTACAGAGCACACCAGCTATTTCTGGACTTGCAAAAGCACTTACTTGTCACACAGGAGACACCCACACTGCACGCTTGGGGAGACACTCTACTTTGCGCCTTGTAAACTGCTCGTATTTTAGATTAAAACAAGCAAGCAAACAAACAAACAAACCCCAAATCCCTTCACTTTTGCACATTATGGGTGGGAATAGCAAAATGTCTGCAAGAGAGCAGAAATGTGTCCCCCTCCCACACCTTCTGCAACAAGCTTCAACTCCAAAACCCAGACCCCTGCTGCTGTCTACCTAAGGAACCTTAAGAAGTACAGCAGGTAAGAAACCAAAACAACCTTTGTTTCCCAGATCATCTAATCCTCAGAGGAAGAGCAGCAATGATTCCCTAATGGAAGTCCACATACATAAGCCTGAGCAGAGGGTGGATCTGACTGCGGCACCTGCCCCAGCCCACACTGTTTAAGGCAAAACAGAAATTTGTGGCCTTTGCAGTTGCTGGCAATGATTCTGCCCTGGGTTCCCGAGCAGCCGTCAGCTCAGCCTGCTGTTCTGCTCAGTATTTCTCTATTTGACCTGCAGCTTTGGTCTCCTTCCAAGAAGGCTTCTAAATGTAGGTGAGGTAATAATTTTAACAGATTAAACACTTCCAGAAGGGGAAGTGTGGAGTACTTCCAAGTTGATACAATAAGGACCAAATTAACAGAGAGGTCAAGAGTTCTAATTTGTAAAGACAGAAAGTTGTTAATCCTGATTCTAAACCCAAAAGCTAAATATTCAATATTGTAGAAAGCAATCTCTGTAGGCAGTCTCTCAGTCCAGTTGACTAATAACTGAAAACAAAGCACAAATCATGTTTTTGCCTCTAAGAATTAGACTTACTTTTTAATTATTACTCAGGAAGGAGGTGAAAGAAGACTCCCATACATTTGCAGAACAGCCTGGTTCCTTAAGAAGCCTTAAAATATAATCCTTAAGGCTTATACCCATGGCACCAAAAGTCGTTTTCTCCAATTAAAGGAAATCTACCTAACCAAAGCCCTGGGGGAAAAATAACTTTTTGTTTTTTTCTTCACTTAAGCAGCAAGTCAGAACTGGGATGGTGTTAGACACGTAGTCCAGCTGTTTGTCATTTATAATTTTTGCTGATGGTACAAAAGCAAGTCATGCAGGGAACCCAAATGAAGCTAGCAGAGGGGGAGGAATTGCAGGCCCACTTGGAAACAAACAAAAACATTTAAAGTAAATGTTCATTACACCTTAAAGAAAAAAAAATAAATAAAATAACATAAAGCTAGAAGATTCAGACAAAAACCAAGAGAAACCAAGTTACTTAGAAGGTATCATAATGTATTCAGGGTCAAGAGAACAGCATGTGGAATAGCAGAAAAATATAGTGTAACTGAACAATCCTTTGGAAATGTCCCACCTGAGATTACATTAATGCAGTAACTCCACAGAGTTAAGCACAGCTTTTGAAAAGACATAAAAGGAGCTAATCTCAACCTTACCCTGAAGTGATAGCAGAGGTTAATTTACAAAAGCAGCAAAAGGGGAAGGGGGGAAGGAAGTGGTTAAAGGTTACTAATACAAACGATCAAAGCAAACACCAGGTCAACACAAGCTACTGTTTTCACCTCAATAAATAAAATCTAACCCAACTATAATGTAACTCTTGGGAAAATGCCCATTGTAATAGTACAAAAGAATAGCAATCACCTTGAGGACTAAGTACTGAACTCTTAAATTCTCATTATACTTGTTTACTGGGTTCTCCTGAATCCATGCCCCCCAGCAAGTGCCTGACTCAATTGCTATCTGAAACAAAGGCAAAACCAGAATACCACATAAAATGAGAAAACATAAAAGCAGAGAACAGATTAATGCTAACATCTTCAAAGTGTTGCATGGAATGCTCAATAAATGCAACAGAACTCCATTATGTGTATTTAGGACAGGAGAGAGAGAGAGTATCTCTCTCTGTATCAGACTTCTCCCACTGAAGTTCTTTGTACTGTGCAATGCATTTCCAAGCCAAATTTTTATACTTTTAATTTCTCCGGCCTCAACTACAGTAGCACAATCCCTCTATATCCTCCCAGGAATCTGTTAATATCACTTCCAGTGCAGCCCTCTGGCTCTCCTATAGCAACATCCTCCCTCCAAAAGCTTACTCTAACATACTGACCCAGTTCTCAAAGGCTGCACCTGTATGTCCTTCATCACACCTCTCTAGGATGCTGTCAACCCTGTGGCATTTGTCAATAGTGGCTATGCCTCAACACCTTCTCTCATGCATATTCCTAAGGGCTTGGAAGCCTGCCAGGATGACCAGTTTCATCTCACTTCATTTAAGGAGGTAAATCCTTTAACGACATTTCATTTTCAAGTTATGAAATGTCTTCTGTTATATGCACTTCACCATGAGACAGCCCACAGCAGGGACTGTTCTTGTAAGAATTACAGAGGACTCAGAGAGGCAGTAGAGGTTTTCTTCCACCACTCTTGCAAGGCTTACCAAGGAAGATTCAAGGGAAACCAGTCCTTCCACTCTAGATAGCTTGATCTTTTCAGAGGTCAAAGCTTTTTAAACAGCCTTCAACCATTCTACTGCTCTAATAGGGTTTATAATAAAAATGATACACTGGGTTTTGTTTCAACTAGCTGTTTCTTTACTTCTTGCCCTAAAAGACAAATAGAAGGCTATAGTAATTACATTACTCCCACCACTTCCAGATGACCCACAAACAATATTTATCAGTCACTGCAAGCAGTTGGGCAATCTGAAATCAACAAATTAGTGCGAATAAAGCAGGAGCAATATGATAATTGTATTTTCCACATTATCATTGATAAACACTACCATAGGTGTTAACACAGGAGCTCCTGTAAGAGTCTTTGGTTCTCAGCAAAAGAGAGGTTATTCATTTAAACCCGAGGTACCCAAGTAGCACAAGTGTGTTCTATTAGAGCACTGCTATGCTTTCTCCTATATCCCATCTCAATGTGACTGATGCTATATGTATTTATTTCCATACATTTATGTGGTTTGTAAACCAACTTGGACTCTGCTAGATGAAAGACTCCTTTTAAATGTAACTCTGCTACAATACAGTGAATCTTCACTAAACTAGTCCCTTTAAGGCCTCACTAAGCAGTGCCTGTTTTTAGGGTTTTTTTTAATCCCACCCTTCTTCTCATCTGGATGAGGGTTTAGAACCAAAGATTAAGCCAAAGAGATCCCTGTTAGAAGCACAGAGCAGAAAGCAGTGCTGAGCTAGAACAACAAAACTGTATCTTTGGTTCTGCATCAGGGAACTTGGCACACAGGGCTGTCTCAATACCACTGGTAGTTATAATATGGTTTTGTAAGACATCAGGCTGGATAAGCCTGGGATGACAAATGCTTCTGACCTGTCGCATAGAAAGCAAAGCTGTAGCAAAGCACACACAGGAAGGTAAGATCTCCCTCTTTAAATGCTCACTGGGCTCATGACATTAGATATTTCACATAGTAGGCTGGACAATAAATTATCCAATGCAAACTAATTAAAACAAAATAACAAACAACTACTCTGAACTGAATTAAACTCTAACATAAGACACAAGAGAACCATCTGTGCTGCCACAGAACCTCCAAAGAGGGAAGGACAGGCATCAGAAAGAAATCACTAAAGATGTCCCAGGGCAGACCATGCTGCTTGTGAATAGGAGCCCTAGCTTAGGGGTAGAATTTAAGGTTCTGTTGATACTACCAGAAACCCTGAAGTTATGCCAGCAAGAACAAACAGTTTCATTAATTTGGGAAGCTTGCATTAATTTGTCTGGTATGACCAATTAACATTGTCTGCGCTGAGAGGGACTGATAGCCCCAACTATGGCAGGCAAGTCCTTTCTACTGCAGACTATACCAAAGTCTGAAGATGGGGCAGTCATTGGCATTTATCTCATCAATGCAATTACTTTTAAGTAGAAAGTTAAACATGCACATAAATGCTTTCAGATACAAGGCAAACATGAACTGTATACACAACCACTTCTTCTTGTAACCCAACACTCTTCCTCTGGCCAAGTATGTGAACCACAAGATAACATTCACTTGCACTGGCCTCTGCCGTGTAGCATTGGAACACAACACCACTGGAATATAAGAGCTTCACAAATACAACACACCTACAGAAAAAGTTTGTTAGTGTACAAGTAAGTGAACAACCCAAGTACCCAACAAAACTGAAAAATTAAATACTACTTTAGTGGCAAAACCACATATGACTGTTATGCTTATGGTAACTGAGTGGTTTGAGAAACAAATATTTGTATCCTTTCTCCTCTCCCCAAGTTTATTTACTTTTCAGTTTCTCAGTCCTGTCCTGATGCTTGCACTAATTGCTTAGGACCTCTTATAAACAGAAACAAGGAAAAAGAAAACAAACTCCAAAATAGTGAGCAAGAGGATTGTAAAAGCCACTAATCTTAGCTAATAGAAACCAACCTAACGTCCAAAAGGAGCCTAAACTTGCTCTTAAAGAGAGTGGCTTTCAAATGGGCTGCATTCCATTAACACTGCTTGCTGTTAATGGTCTGTTGAGCATTCATGCCTTGAGACATCAGCTAGAGGTCTCTTACCTTTGGAGGCTTGAAAGGATATTCTGGTGTAAATGTGATGTCAAGGAAGAAAACACCTCCCTCATAGACTGAACCTGGAGGTCCTAGAATGGTTGATCTCCATTCGTAGATATTATCACCTTTGGGACCAGCGCTGAGAGATAAAAAAAAGCAAATGGTTTAGGAATGTTACCACAGTTCAAATAAATATGACCTCTTACATTCCTCAAGTACGATATGGAAGAAAGTTTTCAGTGTTACACTTCATACACTACCTGAAGTAAAGACAGGGACTAAAAGTAGATTTAATGCTTCCAAAATCTATCTCTCCAAATCTCAAAGATCTTACCCAGGCTTCTCAGTGTTCCAGACTGCCTAGCAAAGCTGAGAAACTAGAGGTGGGTATGGTTTTCAGCTTCTCTCTCCTGACATTTATAAAAGCAGCATTGCCCAAAACTACTCCTAAACATGGTACACAATCTCAATACAAAAGAAAATCTAAGTTTCAAAGAACAAATTCCTACTCTATTTCAGAAACGGCTTTTCCAGGTCATCAAGCACCATACTAAATAAATTAAGGACTTACATTGATTTTATTAATCTTGTGTGTTCTTTAAAATTAAAATATATTCCTGTATTATTGCTAATTCAAGGCTCATGGTATAATTGAAGAAAGCCAAACATATGATGATATTCTTTACTGTCAAAATTTTCTACACTTCTGTCATTTTGCAACACTGATTTCTAAAATGACGCCACATGAAGTCACCCCATTGATATTGTTTGTACTGGGGAACTACTTTTGTAAGGGGAATTAAAATCACTGTGTCAAATTAAAACAGTGCTTTCTCAAATCAGCTTCGTTTACTTTTAGATTCTCCTAACCTGACAGCACCTCACTAAGAGCAGTACAAACTAAAGGTGTTGCAGAACACAAATGTTTGCTTGTTGAAAATTAGTTTTACTGAGATCCTCAGACATTTGTATTCTGTAGCATGCCATATGTCACTGGGTATTTCTAAGAACAGCTCAATCTATAAAGCCATTAATGGTTTAGGACCCCATTGCTACCTCTTTCTTTCTGTGCTGCTATGGTAGTATTTTATCAGTAAGACGCCAGAACCAAAAACTCCCTTTGCATAAAGGGAGGTGCTGACACAGCTTTTTCCATCATGGATGTGCTGTGGCTTTGGAAATCTCTGCTCCCCTTATTCTATAAGGGGTTGGATTTTAACATCCCTAATAGAACAAAAACCAGCCTTGCTCTTCTTTCCCCATTCTTTTAACAAGGTTAATATAAAGCAGAAGGACTAAAAAAAATAAAGGCTCTTGTAACAATCACGGAGCAGTATTACTTGAGAACAAAGGCAATCCAATAAAGTCAATACACACATGACAATACGTATTTGGTTAATGTGAAGGGAGTCAGAGTAATTGCTAGGTGTTAGCAACAGTGTTACAAATAGAAATACAATTACAAAAACAGAAATTCTCAATGTAGCAACAGTGATCAGAGACGTGCTTTTTTCCCCCTGCTCTTTGCAGTACTGGTAAACGTGTTCTTGACAGCAGGGGCGTCAGCGGAGAGATGGAGTTAGTTCTGTTATCAAACCTAAAATTTTATTTTCAGATTAAACTAAAAATAAAACTTCACAATATGTTGGTGCTAAATAGTTCAACAATAGCAAAGCTATGACTAAAAGCATGCTCTCAGGGGAAGGAAAGCGTGTAAGAAATCAGTAAAGGGAGACAGGTTCTCTGCCAAGTGATGCACCAGTCACCAGTGGAAGATTTCTCTCCTCAGAATACAAACCCCGCACAGCTCAGGATCGGTACTAAATTAGAGTAAAAGCCATTCCATTCTGAACACTCCTGGCATCTCACTCCACCTTAATGACTTGTCCCTGTCCTATACAGGTCCATAGATTTGGGCACTCAGTACTCTCCAGCTACCACTTGTGCACTAGACTGGAAGAACATTTTATTTCCACAGGAAGCTCTGCCTCTTGAAAGACATCAGCTTAACTGTCAAAACTTGCTGAAAAGGACTCTCTGAGGCACCCTTAGCCACCACTCCAAGAAGTCACCTCTTTATATACGTGTTCGCAACCTAGAGACACACTGTTATTACTGTAAGTTGCACCAGCAACCATCCTCCCACCCTCCCCTAAAGATGAAGCTACTGAACGGAACAGGTACTTGAGCTTTGGTACCACTGATTTACTGTTGGAATTTCTATCACAAGAACTGCCAACTGGGAGCACTTCAGCACTCACAAAATGTGATGTGTGATTAGCACTGAATACAGCCCTCTGAACCAACGAGAAATATTTCAACATTTTACATTTTATTTCCAGCTTCAACCCAAAGGACTATCAATAAAAAAATCCCACAGACTTAAAAATGATATATTATTTCTAATAGTCTTAGAAATCTCTTGTATCCTATTAGGTTTCCAATTAGAGCTATCACTGCACGCAGGTAATGTACCGCTAGACCTCCATATTAGAAGAATGCAACATTGTAAGACATCAGTAGGCTTTAGCAGTAATGCACTAAGCTTACCTTTTAAGCTTTTCATAATTCAATTAACAGACTGAAATAGCTGTACAGGTCTGAATTTTACACATAACACTGATTTCTTATAAAGGAAAAACTGAAAGAACGAGATGCAAGGCAGCTTCAGAGTGCAATATTGGTCGGATTTAATTTAGGATTAGGTAATATCAAGCAGCTCAGCAAGACCTAGTGCTTAATAGAGAAGCGACAATACTGGATCACAGCGTAAGTGCAGTGGCATTCATTTTTGGTGGAGATATATAGACTGCCAACGGTTAAAGATTACATTCTTTGTTTAAAATCCTTGCAATTATCTACTTCAAAAAGAAATTCACTGATGCAGAGATACAAAGCTCAGAGCCACAGCTGCCACCTTGCCTGATGTGTACCATCACTGCTCCAATTATCTAAATCTACTAATGCAACATTTTGAAGCTGTTCAACATATGAATACTGGGAAGACAACTTTAACCAATTAAATAGAAACTGTTTCTACTACAAGACAAGAGTATGAGAGCAACAACTTTCTGTATTCAACTCAATAGCCCACAACCTCTTCACTTCCAAAGAAAGAAATGAGACAAAGACCAGTAACACACAGCAAAAGAGTACATCTGAAATAAAACTGAAAATATCCCAACCCATCATTATCATATCAGGTAGCATGTGTTACACAACAGTGCAACCGAGATCTCTCTTCCTCAGAAAAACAGTGATGTATTCAGTGAAGATGTGCTGCACCCACTGTAACACCTGTTTCTGATCATTCCCAAGTTGTTGTCAGCTTATCCTCTGGGAAGATGTTATGACAGTAACACCCAGTGCCAAGGTACTTTTTGTCCAAGGACCTTTCTAAGTCTAGAAGGAGCAGTCCAAATCCTGTAGGTAAAGGCAAGCCAGAGAGAAAGTCTCATCACAGGTGATACTAAGCTCAAAGTTCTGCCTGGGCCAAGTCCCAACCAGCCTTACTGTCGCTTTGGAAAAAACTCATCTTGCTCTGCCTCCCTTGGCTGGCAAGCGCCATGTTCTTTCTTGATTTAAAAACCAAACAGGTAAATTGGAAACATGTGCAGCAGAGGCTGGGGAGCAGAACGATGCCTAGGTAAATTGGCTGCATGCTCAGATGCCTTGCAGTACTGAGCAATTGTAAACACAGGACTTCTCACACTAACCCACGTGTCATCCTTGTCTCTAAATTGGAGAGACACGGATTTAATGGAAGGACCACTTGGTGGACAAGGAATTGGCTGGATGGTCACACTCAAACAGTTGAGGTCAACAGCTCATTGTCCAAGTGGAGACCGGTGACAAGTGGTGTTCCTCAGGGCAGTATTGAGACTAGTGTTGTTTAACATCTTTGCCGGCAATGTGGACAGTGGGATCAAGTGCACCCTCAGCATGACGAAACCAAGCTGTGTGGTGCAGTTGATGTGCTAGAGGGAAGGGATGCCATCCAGAGGGACCTGGACAGGTTTGAGCGGTGGGCCCATGCCAACCTCATGAAGTTCAAAACAAGGCCAAGTGCAAGGTCCTGCACATGGGTCGGAGCAACTTCAAGCACAAACACAGGCTGGGAGGAGAATTAATTGAGAGCAGCCCTGAGGAGAAGGACTTGGGGGTGTTGGTTGATCAGAAGCTGAACATGAGCAGGCCATCTGCACTTGCAGTCTAGAAAGCCAACTGTGTCCTGGGCTACATCCAAAGAAGCATTAGCAGCAGGTCGAAGGAGGTGATTCTCCCCCTCTACTCTGCTCTCGCAAGACCCCACCTGGAGTACTGCATCCAGCTCTGGGGCACCCAACATAAGGAGGACACGGACCTGCTGGAGTGAGTCCAGAGGAGGGCTGCGAAGATTATCAAGAGGGCTGGAACACCTACCCTATGAGGGCAGGCTGAGGGTTTGTTCAGCCTGGAGAAGAGAAGCCTCCGGGGGGACCTTATAGCAGCCTTCCACTACCTGAAGGGGGCCTACAGGAGAGATGGGGAGGGACTCTTGGTCAGGGAGTGTAGTGATAGGACAAGTGGTAATGGTTTTAAGATGAAAAAAGGTAGATTTAGATTAGAGATTAGGAAGACATTTTTTCCTGGGAGGGTGGTGAGGCACTGGAACAGGTTGCCCAGAGAAGCTGTGGATGCCCCATCCCTGGAGGTGTTCAAGGCCAGGCTGGATGAGGCTTTGAGCAACCTGGTCTGGTGGGAGATGTCCCTGCCCACAGCAGGGGGGGTGGACCAAGATGATCTTTAAGATCTTTTCCAACCCAAACCATTCTATGATTCTATGATTGTCTTAGAGATTAAGTGTTCATGGAAAAGACACACACACGCACCTTTTCATGTATTGAAAAGGCTGAAATGATGAATAGCTTGCAAGAACAGTCAGCCTGTGGCTTTTTTGTGTTAAGCTAGCTAGATACAACCTCCACCTCAGGCATACATTACGTGATACCACTGATATTTGTGGTGCAGAAACTCGGATCCCTCCTCTGCCTGGGCATCCCTGGGCAAATCACTCAAAGTACAATGGCACCATAGAGGGAAGGCAGGATTTTTTGGTATTCACCACATACAGCTAATGCTTGAAAATCCCTGGGAACA